GAACCGAGCCACAACCGAGCCAGAACCAAGCCAACCAAGCCACAACCGAGCCACAACCAAGTCACAACCGAGCCACAACTGAGCCACAACCGAGACAGAACCAAGCCACAACCGAGCCAGAACCGAGCCACAACCAGGCCACAACCGAGCCACAACCAAGCCACAACCGAGCCACAACTGACCCAGAACTACGCCAGAACCGAGCCAGAACCATACAAGGAGTAAAATGAAGCCAAGCTCATCTGAACCAAACTGGAACTGAACCAGAACCAAACCGAGCAAAATGAGACCAAATTACATATGACCCAAACTGGACGTGCACCAGAACGCAATGAGAACCAAACGAGATCAAGATCGAGCCAAGACTGGATGAGTGCCAGAGCTTAACTTAAACCACCATCCGAGCCTGTTTTTACCGACCTTGATTTTCACTGCACGCTGAGTTGTGCCGAGCCTGGGTTCCGTTTTGTTATTTTCCTGGTACTGCACTGAAAAAAGAAAACGAAAACGAAAAAGAAAACACGGTGTTGCTTTCCAAAAGAAAAGAGCACGGCGTTACAGAGACATCCTCACATCCACCAGAAAAGCAAAAGAAGAGAAACCGAACACCCCTTCGGACACGATATGGGGCGGATACAATATCCAAAGTAGGTGTCTGAGTATGCCCTCAGTGAGGGCGTCACATCAGCCGCGTCAGGTCCATAGTATGGAAAACAAAACAAACAAAAAAACGAAGCTGAAATTAGGGCCGAAAAGCGGGATGATACAGGATGCAAAGTAGTAGTGGGAGTATGCTGTTCGTTACGCTGTGTCAGCAGCCCGTGGACTGCGCTGTGCCTCAGAAAAGAAACAAGAAAAATCGAAACTGAACTTAGGCCCGAAAGCCGGGTTGATACAGGATGCCAAGTAGTAGTGGGGGTATGCTGTTCGTTACACAGTGTCAGCAGCCCTTGGACTGCCCTGTGCCTTGCTAGCAGGGCCATAAAAGAAAACGACACAGCAAGAAACAAAAACACAAACAGAAAACCCTGAAAAACTAGACATAATAACAGTTAGCTACATGGATGTGACTGTTGATGTGAGCATAATAGTTCACGGCCGTCCCCAAAATCGTTCCCCACGGTATATAGTCTCTCGTTCCCCCCCCCCCCCCCCCCCCCCCCCCCCCCCCCCCCCCCCCCCCCCCCCCTTTTTACAAACGGACCCATAGGGCCCAACACTTCCCTTTTAGCCGATCCTTGTCCAGACCCCAGAAAAATGCGTTGTGACATATATTTATTATATTCCCGTTTTTCCCAACGCTGAGAAAGGTAGTGGTGGTTT